ATTCACATACAAATAATTTTTAGGTAATTGGATTTCCTATAATTTATCTTCTTTCCATACAAGTTCCATACTCACAATCAAACGGCACCCTAAATGAGATTACAAATTGACTAGTGTTAGCCTTTAATAAAAGGATAAAAACTAAAAAAATAATTTTTGTAGATGTGTAAACAAAGTTTTTCCAATTTTTTTTTCCACATAGTTCTTTTCTCCATCGAAACGATGATGATCGTGAATCCCAATCTTGGTTGAGAGTACGATGACTATGGTCAAATTTTTTATCCAATGTCAACAATTCTTTTTTGCTTTCATCGTCGAATATCATAATTCATAATTTAAGCTCTTCAATAAACGTCGAGAACGGAATGGCAAAACATTTTAGAGGTAAAGATTAATTAGTTTCAAGAAAGTACAAAACTAAAGGCATAAATTACCGAATTCATAAACAAGAACCATATCATCAAGCCAAGCCTTAATTTAAACCATCAAGAAGATGAAAATTTCATATAGTGATAATTAATTCAAGCACCAGCAGCTCCTTTGTAACTGAATTCTGGGGTAGTGAAATTGAGTGGTGAAAGTGAAGATGATAGTGTTGGAGGCCATAATTGGGCATTCTTCACCTTCGATATGCTTGAAAGAACCTCCAATGGAGTCACGTCCCCAATCACTGTCACTTTCTTTGCTGCAAAGTCTATGTCGAAAGATTTCACCCCTGCTTACCATATTGAGCACCAGTTAAGGAAGAAAGAACAATAGACGAAAACGTGACATAAAGTAGTACGCTTATCCTCTCGAGTGTTGACCTACCTTCACAAGTATATTGGAATTCCACTTAATATTCTTACGATACAAGGTGATTTGGAGGCCAATCTTTTTGTGGGTTGTGTTATACTTCTAGAGCTTAATTTTACTATATACTTATTCTCTCGATCGACCTTCGGAGGGTTGCTTAGTATTCCATTATATATTCTCTCCATCGACTTTTAGAGGGTTCTTTTTCTTTGTTACTGCTATCCAATTTCCATTAATTTAACTCACCAAAATGCTAGTATCATTTTCAAACAATCAAATGTTCCGTAGCTCCACCGCCTGACTCCACACCGGTGTTCTAAAAAAGGTACTAGGCATGAGGTGCGGGCGAAACTCCTCGCCCTAGCAATAAGCACGAAATTAAAATAATATTAAAAATAAAAAAATGCTTTTTGAGGCCTAGGATCGTAAAGTTTGAAGGTTGGCTTCCAAGCCTAGCCACGCTTTTTAGAACAATGCTTCACACACTCAAGAACAAAAAGAAGAAAGTTGAGCGAAATGAGGGCACTAGACATGCATACCTTCCATTCTAGAGATGTGTTTTCGCATTTTTCTCTCACATCCTCTGCAGTGCAGGGATACTCTAAGAACAACCACCTGCAACCAAATATTCAAAATCACTTCATGATTTAAAATCAATTATAGACTTAAGGGATAGTGAATCAGTGATTAGTGTTAAAGGGTAAAATCGGACGTTAATTACATATGGAAAAAACAATAATCAACGTATAAAAATTTGGACTATCCTTTTAAAAAGGACGATCTTTTAAGATGGAAATGAAGACTTCGGAGATAGATAAAACAACACATATAGCAAGACAAAATTATAACAAAAATACATAATATAAACATGTTAAATGGAGAATTGAGAGTGAAGAAAACCTGTTCTGGAGATTCAGACAAAGAGGGTAGTTTTCCATCACATGATTCATCTGTTTTAGACTTGGAAGGTTCATCATGAACCAATTTCAGAACCGGGTCGAAATCCGATAAGACGTCCAAGAAAGCTTTATCATTCAATAAGTATCTAGTTGAACCAGCAGGGCTTATAAAATCTCCTGGCTTGGTGTAACTCCAGCTCTTCCTTACAACAATAGTACTATTATCAACTCTTTCATCCTTTCTCTTTAATTTTTCATCCTCCAGTTTGAGGATTTTCTTTTTCTTGGCTTCATCATTTCCCTTCAAAGGGTTCTTCGGATTAGAATGGTGTTTTCGAGGTTTGGGAGTGAGTTTTGGGTGAGAACTGAGAGGTGGGAGTGGATTTACATTTCTTCTCGAGTCTCTGATGATGGGATTGTATCGGTCGATGGCTCGACTGCTCCCGAGTTGGGCAGTGGAGGAGGAGGAAGAGGAAGAAGATGAGGCTTCACTCATGTTGGGACATATGGCTGTTGCAGCTTGAGATGTACAGAATATATGGATTCCTTTCATCTTTAGATGAAAGTGCTGAAATGATAAAGAGTCAGAATAAAGAGTCAGAATTAAAGGTCTAGGGAATCTGCTGCGATATTGTGTAAATTTGTGGGGGCAGAAACAAAGAGACTTTTCTTGCTAAGATTCTTGGGGTTAGTTGTTCAGCTTGAGCTCTTGCCATGGAGAGAGAGAGAGAGAATGTATCTATGTATTCATATCTAGGATGTGACAGTTTTATATTGATTGTCAATCTAAAGGTTGAAGGTCAAAATGTACAATGTGAGTTGGATCCGCCTAGATGAACTTCAAACAGTGGCAATCCTTTGAGTGCAACAAGGAAGCAAACGATGAATTAAAATGGAAAATAATAACATTTTTGAAAGAGTCCGAGGGTGACACTCGTGGACTGGATTCTCTGCAGAATTCAGTGACAGTTCCCTCATAATTCAGATATAAAACTACTCCGGCATGGAATTTTTATAGCAATTTAATTCGTGCTGTCAGCATGGGGTGTGGATCTGACCAATTTTAAATGAAAATTTCAGGAAAACTGTTTGTTGATGAGTTTGATGTTTGGACTGGAATCAAAGCAATGGATAAATTATCATCAGCGTGCATGCTTAAGGACAGAGTACTGTAGAGCCTACTTCACATTGTTTTAAGTAGTAAAAATCTTTAGGATTATGGCTTGGAATTAAACTGTAACCCCTTCTTTCGTCCGTCCTCGAGGCTGTAAAAAATGAGGAGTTTGAATGTTAAAATTGCAGTTACAGAGATATCGACTCTTTGCCACATTATCTCAAGTGTAACAAGTCTCAAATTTCATTTCTGGAAAATGGGAATAATAGAGAAATATGTTGAGATGCTTTTGGAACATATGCTTCAAAAAATCATCTGGAAAATTGAATGAATGAGACACAAAGCCACTTTGCTTAATTAAGCAAGGATTCTGGTTCACAAATCCATGGAATCAGATGCCTTTGAGCATTTTTCACTTTCTGCTCTTCTTTTCCTTTCCTTTCCTTCCCTTTCCCCTTTACATCTCCAACCATATCACACGAATTCTAACTCACCACCCCTTTATTCTTCTGAGATGTTCTGTTAGAAGGATTAGATAGTGTTGGGTCGTGAAATGAAGAAAAACCTAATATCTTGTTAAATATATGTCGAGTCATGTTTGAGTCATGTCTTATATTGCATACCAAACATGCATTTATGTTCTTCAAGTCACATAAAAACCATCATAAGGAATTGTTCAAAATTGGATTCATATCAAAGCCTAATCAAAATTGCAGAATTCTTAATGTTACTTATTGCAAAAACTAGTAAACATAAAAATAAAAAAATGAAGATGTCAATGCACTATTGTAGAAGATAACATACACAACATGCTTTCAATCTGTACATGCTATTTTAGCTGTATTCATTTGTTTCCCTTCCCTTCATCTTCATTCAAGATACGATTTCGAAAATCATTGACCATCAAAGGCAGCCCCTCACGCAAGGAAATCTTTGGTTCCCAGTTTAGAAGATCTTTTGCTTTACTAATATCTGGCTTCCTCTTATGAGGATCATCAGCAGTGTTTTCTTTGAATTCAATCGTTGCACTGGAATCAATGGTTTCTTTGACAACCTGTTATTACCAAAAAGGTGAATCATGTCAAAAACTAGATCCTAGACCCATCATTAGATAAGAAAATATCACTGAGGAAGCCCAAAGATCACAAACCTCGGCAAGCTCTAACATGGTGAACTCTCCAGGGTTACCCAAGTTGAACGGTCCGATGTGATCACTTTCCATTAGAGCCACTAATCCATCAACCTGATATCAAGATAATAAAAATAGTTCTGTAGTAAACAACATTTAGTTTTTCCTCATTCTGGTGACTTGCATACATTACAGTTTTGTTTGTTGCGGATCTTATACAGTATGTACGTTTCAGATTGAATCTTAGATACAAATCATCATAAGGCACGTTTAACTCATGCTTGAATGAATCTCTTGTGCACTTGATGGCAAATGTTTGTAAATAATGCATGGGTAAGTAATACACATGTCAATTCAATAAAGACGGAGTACTGAGTACCATATTCAGGAGTGCTAGAAATTTTGTCCAAATAATGAAGACGAATTGGAAGTCTCGAGCATGTTTGGCAGTTTGGCTAAGGTTAAAAGTAAGTCAACTTTCTTAACATATTTGAATGCGTTATCGTTTTCTTATAACTTCGACAAGAAAGTAACGGTTACTTTCAAAAATAATATTTTATTTTCAACTTTGACCTAGAAAAACAATTATTTATACTAAAACATTCTTATTTACTTATAAGTAACTATTTAAGCTTCGCCAACATGCACAACTTCCACCCATAGATCCCTCCAGAATTCAAGCCTTCTAGGTTTTAACTGCCTTAAAAACTTGCTACCGTAATAACTCAAAATTTTCTTTAATAGAACAATTGTACTTGAATGTGCAACCGTACTCAACTAACTGATAGTCATGCCAATTAAAAGAGGTCGATAGTCTTTCAATAGCAAGAATTTCCTAGTCTAAGGGGGGGAAATTTGCATGGCTATGTAGAGTAAAGTACATGAATAATTGAGGCAGTGCCAGAAAGCAGGTTAATACATATAATACTACATACCAAGTCAGAAACGTATTGAAAGCTTCGGGTTTGCTTCCCATCCCCATAAACTGTCATTGGGTTCTTACGTATGGCCTGCAGAATGCAACAGCTTTCAGAATAAGAACTCTGGTGAATGTAAAAACACTTAGAAAGGTAATCTCATAGTGAACTATTTGAGGCATCTTTATCAAACCATAAGCGTACGAAACAGAGAGGACAAACCTGTGAAACAAAGTTGCTGACAACGCGTCCATCATCAAGACACATACGAGGACCATATGTATTAAATATACGTGCAATGCGCACCTGCAGGGCAAGAGGAGCATGATTAATCACAACAGTACTTAAATCCAACTTGGGATGCGATTTTCCAAGTATGGGGGACAAGAAATTTCGTTCTACAAGTACAAATCTCAATCATAGGTAATCTTTGGCTCGTGGAGAAGCTATAAAATGAGCAAATAGATTATCCTGTACTTCCCCAGAATCTTGAGCTGTTATACTATTGTCTAGAAATAATAATCCCAAATCCTCACTCTCTCAACTTAGTCAGACTAAGTAGTGAAAAGTCTGCTTGTCATGCAGAACAAACTTTCATAGATATTCCCACTTTATTTTTGTGAAGTTAGCCGATGCTTATTCCCCAAATACCGTCATTGCTTCTTCTCTGGAAAAATATATTCATGACCGGTGGGCCTTCTACCTCCATGCACATTGCAGAAAATTCTTTTTTGCTGCCTCGTGTAGGAGTCTGGGCCATTTTTCAATCTGTCCTAGTGTGGCTGATCATCCTCTTGGACCAGCTGAGACACTCCATTTGAGCATTATATATCCTGAACAATGATGTCATTACCATTTTTTCCTACCAGAACTTGAGAGTTTTCTCAAATAGTAAGGAGCCATAACCACGCAGCTAAAATCCATGGTTTCTCAATTTTTTTTGATAGGCATGGTTTCTCAATTTTTTGGTAAATACACTTCAACTACTTTCTCCCCAGCCCCACCCCACCTCAAAAGAAGTAAAAATAAAATTTCCAGTTGGCAGGTCTCTCTATAGTTTCCCTCCTCTAACCATTCTCAACTACTTTAGTCCCACAACTCATTTGGTTTTATCAGCGTTGGTAAAATGCATAGTGATCAAGCCAGTGATGTGCTCAAGTAAGGTGAAGGGTCAATGAGATCAATATTATTCATGAAAAAATTGGAAGCAGATGTAGCATGTGCAGCAGCTATATGCTTATAAAATTATGCAAAATTAGAATGTTCATCGAATTTCTTGCTAATTACGATTGTTTAGGGGAGATAATGGATTGTTTACAATTTAATGCATTACAATGGATTTAAAAATTAGAGTAGCGACAATCAGACGCTTGTTGGAGGATGATTTGCTAAAGTGGCCATAATATGAGGTGGATGGTGCATATAAGGACTGGTGGATTGTGGTGGTGAGACATTCTTACGATTGGCTTTGAGTGTTCAGTGGTGGTGACAATTTAACACGAGGGGAAGGTGTGAATTGGAAATTCAGACAGGCCTTTGTTCTGCTGTCTCAATTCATAGTTGAGAAAAGAATGAAATAATGCTTGGTGTTGGTTTGAAAATTTGACATTTCTCAAAGGTAGAGGACTAGTTTGATCATTTCCATTAACAGCATTCGGAGCTTACAGACAGATCGACATAAATCAGAATAGAAAGGCTAAGGTCTAAATAAAATGGTTAAAACCCTTCCTAAGAATACTACAAGCCTGGAAAATCTAATTGGACTTGATCAAACGCACCAGGAAACATTTGCTAAACTGGATGCAATAATGTGTTTGAACTTAATCAGAAGTGCTGAAAAATTCTCACCTACACTAGATGCCAATTTTGTGGCATATAAACCTAACATCGTCACAGACAAAGCTTACAGATATGATACATGATAGATCACGTGCAAAGCACGTCGCAGAGTTTAGTTTTGCCTCAAAGGTAAAGAAACATTCCAGACACCTTAATAAGGTAGCACAAGTAATTATTGAAAGTTAAAAACGTTTCAGAACTTCACAGTAAAGGATAACACTAACGTAGTTTACTAAATGAATGATGAACTTGAACAAAAGAATGCTTGTTCCAAGCTATGTATTATTAAAGCAGGTAAAGTCAATAAGATTAATTACATTGTAATCTATTCTGAGAGCCAAATGATCAATATACCAAGCTTAGAGTTCAACAACTATCACAGCAATGCACATGTATTACCTCAACACCAGCTCCACGATGATAGTCCATAGTTAAGGTTTCAGCAGTTCTTTTTCCTTCATCATAGCAACTCCGTACACCTGATTATTGGAAAGAACTCAAATCATAAACTTCACACCAAATAGCATAACAAAATAAAATATCAAATAACAGAAAGATGGCACCCACCTATTGGATTCACATGTCCCCAATATGTCTCCTTCTGTGGATGCTCAAGTGGGTCACCGTAAACCTCACTTGTACTAGTAAGAAGGAACCTTGCTCCAATTCTCTTTGCGAGGCCCAACATATTAAGGGTCCCCATCACATTTGTCTTGTAATTATGTGTTAAGGATCTCAATAAACAATCTAACAAAAACAAATCCAGGTGCAATATAAGTCTTTGAGTATTTTATCTAAATTACTTCCCAGATACACAAAAAAATGAAAACTTTATGAATAATCGTAAGAGCAGCTTATCACTTTTGCATTCACGCACTCAAAAACAGCAATCTCCATTGGTAATTGCACATGTGCAAGCCCACATATCAGATATAATTGCATAAAAATCATATTCATTTGAAGACTCAAATGCACTATTTGTGTACATAGCAAATATAGCAATGTGCAACTGCAAGTTTGTGCCTGGAGAGTACACATCAAGCGAACATGTCTCACATAATATCTTATGATCAACATTGGCATAGATAAAAATTAAAGCAACAACTCACTTTTGACCATCCCCAGTCATTCAAACAGGCAAAGCCATTCATTCTGCTACTTTGCCAATGCACACGCGCACAGATCAAACAATACTACATTTTCTCAAAATAAAAAGTCATTCATTCTAATAAGTAATAACATCTGTAATAAGGATATGATAGTCTTGACAGGATTATACTTGTAATGAACGGGAGATGCAGGACAAGCCAAGTGGTAGATCTGATCCACCTCCAACAGAATTGGCTCAACGACATCGTGCCTAATCAGCTCGAATCTCGGGTTCCCAAACAAATGTACTACATTCTCCTTCCTCCCAGTGAAGAAATTGTCAATCACAATCACATCATCACCTCGAGCGATCAACTTATCCACCAAATGACTGCCCACAAACCCAGCCCCTCCAGTTACTACAATCCTCTTCCTCTTGCTTCTTATCCCCACCGGCACTCTCCCCACCCCATTATGGTACTTACTCCTATAATTCTCATCATATCCCACCACCCCCGTGGGATCATAAAGGCTAACCGATTCACGATTCCCAGAAAAAATGTGGGATCTGGGAATTCTGGGTCCGGAAGAAGCCGACAAGAGGTAGGAAAGGGAAGGTTGGACGATAAAGAAAGTGGAGCCAATAAGAATGCCCACAAGAATGAAAAGAAGTCTCTGTTCTTTGAGCAGATAATTGAGAGATCTGGGAAGGGATCTGGGGTGTTTCAAGGCTTTGGGAGAGTAAGGTGGGTTTTGGGACATGGGGATTTCTTCATCTCTTCTTGTACCGGCTTGCTTGTGCAACTGCTTCATGGCTGGACTGTGAAAGCTTCTGCTTTAAGAAGAATAGTTTCGTTATAGTTAGCGATTTGATTCTAGAAATGGAGGTCCGATTGTTAACTGAATTTTGGTACAGACAGAAAAGAGAGCCAGGAAGGTACACAGCGGCATCTGGTGTGAAGCTGTTGTACCATATGATGCAGCATTTGGTGAAGCTGTTGTACCAAATGATACAGCGTGGGTTTGAAGATTTCATATATGGGCCAGATGTGGACAAAATGTGTTCCCAATTTAGGCCCAAACTGGAATAGGAGTTCCCAATTTAGGCCTATCTGTGTGGAGTTGCCTGGATGTAGACAAAATTTGAAGATGAATCTACTATTAGGCCATGGTGGAAGTAAAGTGAGGAAATTACAAAAAAAATCAGGTGTTTAAAGATTGATTTTAAAAAATCAGGTAATAATTTTATATTTTGATAAATATATTAATATTAAAACCCTAACTTACTTTCTTCCCTCTCTCTCTCTCTCTCTGTCGTCTCTCTCTCTCTCTCTCTATCCTTTCCTTGTGAGCAGCAAGCGGCGCTGCAGTCCGTCGAAAAATTGGGTGAACGACATCCCCTTTGTCGCTGCTACAACAACATCGTCGCAGTTGGGTGAATGACATCTCACTCGCCGCTGCTACAATGGCATCATCGTTACTGTGCTACGCCCTCACAGCTTGCAATGTGAGCCCGGGCAGCGACATCGCCTTTTTTTTCCCTCTTCTGCACTGTTTCGGTTGGTATGGTTGTGAAGTGTTGGGTGGCGGATATGGTGGTTGCGGTGAGGTGTGTTAGCGGTGATGGAAGTGGTGGTGGTCATGGCGGATCTGGTGGTCGCAGTGATGGTAGCGGGATCTGGTTCGGATATTATTTGTTTGTTGGAAATGGTAGTTGTGGTGGTGGCTGAAAATGGTGGAGGCGGTGACGACGCTGTGAGGTGATGGTGGTTGGTTGAGTGTTGGCTGTTGGTGGTTGATTGAAGTTGCTGGTGGAGGTGGTGTGTGCTGTTTGGAGCAGGCGTTTGTGGGTGGTGGCAGGGACGATCGTTTTCGGCGGTGGTGCTTTTTTGTTGTTGGCGACAGTGGCGAGTTTTTGTGGTGGTGGTGTGTTGGTGGTGGCGGTGGTGGTGGGATAACGTATGTAACTAATTATTTGGTTAATTTGTGACCAAGTATTGGTGGATCAGGATCGGGGACGGAGTGTTTGGTATATGTGATCAACTATTTGATTTACTAACCATTAAACTATGGCTTTAAAATTCAATAATTTGTGACCAACAAATTTGAAAATATATGATCGATAGATAAACTATGACTTATAATTTTTTTGATCCATAACCAATGAAATAAATAGACATATAATTTTTTTTATTTGTGATCTCGAAATAATTTGTGATCAATTGATTTAAGAAAATATGACCAATAAATAAGTTGTGACTTATAATTATGTACATGTGACAATTAGTTGTATAATTGTGAATTTATTATATTTAAATAATAATTATTTTTAATTAATTAATTAAATACCTGAGTTTTGCATTTTTTAAACTTGATACCTGATTTTTGCAATTGTAAAACTTAAGGCCTGATTTGATAACTATTCCCGTAAAGTTTCCCATTTAGGCACATTCGTATAATATACTTTTGTTTGCAGGAAATTGACATTATAAACATAACGTAGAACATATTTTTTTGATGAGAAAATTACCCAGAATCCTACAATTAAATATTAGTTTTCATAAACAGGGGAGTTAAGTTTAAAAGTCATATATCAGGTGGTAATTAGATAATATTAATTGTAATTAATAGAAAATTAACTAAACTTAATCTACGTAATAACCCCACCACCCATCCCCGAACTCCTAAATCCAAGATCATTCTTCCTTCTCTCTCTCTCTCTCTCTCTTTACAATCAATCTACCAACCAACCCTCCACCCAACCCCCACTCTTTAGACCATTTCTCCAGCGAAAAAGAACAGTCGAAGAAAGCAACTACACATAGCAGTACGCTACTGCCCGAAGTGCAACAGAACCGCTACGTTCACCACTCTACCCACCCATCCCAACTCCGACCCCCACTCTCTGTAACATCTTTTCGACAACTGCACACAATGGTCGATGTTGTGAGAGGCAAAGCATTTCAGCTGCATGCAGTGGTGTGCAACTACTTCACTATCGTACCCGGGTGCTTCTACCAGGTCTTTGACATCGACGTCAATCTCCGAGAAAGTTAGTGGCGTTCTCGTCATTTCAACTCAGATCTCCATCTACCAAGTCAAAAATTGAAATTATCAAAGAACACTGGAGGCGTGTGGTGCATTCAAAGTAGCACACAAGAAATTAATCAAATACCATCTTCCTTTCATGATTTGGTTTTGATTTTGATTTGGTGGGTGTGTGTCCAATGATTCGGGGTTGGGTTATTGGATCAGATTTGGAAGATAATAGTGATTAGGACATGAATACGAATTTATACAAAGTGATTTGTACGGATGACGATGATTTTAGGTGACGATGGTGGTGATTTGACTGTGGATGAGGAGGTGGCAGCGGCGATTTGGATCTTCTCACCTGCTTTATTGTAGAGGTGGCAGATTTTTGAGGTGTGTTTGAAAGTGGATTAGGGGGTGGCATAGTAACTGGTGGATAGTTCGAGTCTTGTGTTTTCTAAAATTGTTGGTGGTGGTTCTATTGATGGTGTGATGTCGATGGTGGTGGTGGTTGGTGTTTGTTGAAGGTGTTGGTGGAAGTGATGGTGTTGGTGTTGGTGATGATGATTGGTGTTCTGGATTTTAAGATGAAGGTAAACTTAAGTTGAAGGTGGTAGTGTGGTGTATTGGAGTTGAGGTGGTGGTAAGTGGTCATGGATTGTAGTGTTGGTCTTTGGTGTGTGCATATTTGTTTGTGGTGACCCTTTGTGACCAATAGGGATGGCAACGGGGCGGGGGGCCCTCCTCGCCCCGCTAAGAAATTCCCGCCCCATCTCCGTTTAAGTCGGGGCGGGGGTATGTCCATTCCCCGTTTATTCCCCCGTTTAATTTTTTTTTTTAAAGTTTTTGATAATTTATTTTTATTGCCCATATTCATTAGATTTGGACAAATAATTTTAGTTGCTATTTTCTATTAGAACTAATAAAAAATTTCATTTAAAGTATTGAATTCTAAAAAAAATTTTTTTTTTTTTTTAAACGGGGCGGGGGCGGGGACCCCGTTACCCGTCCCCTCCCCGAAACCGCCCCGGGGCCCCACGGGTATCGGGTTTGTCGAATTTTTTTGCCATCCCTAGTGACCAAATATGTGTTTATTGTGATCGGTTGTAACCAATCATATATTCATTGTGACTGTCTGTGATCAGATTAACAGTGAGTCAAAAATTAGACTGATTTAGCCCCCGTTTGACACCCATTTTTTTCTTATTCTTATTCTCATTATTTTTCTCTTTCTTCATTTCAACCACACATTCTATCAATAAAATAATATTACACATAAACCTAAAAATTCTCCTTATTTTTTAACCACACATTCTTCCATCAATCACTATTCAAAAACACATTTTTCTACTAAAATGGGTGTCAAACACACCCTTAGTCATAGACAGTCACACTGAATACAAATTTTGGTCACAATTAATCATAGATAATATATGTAACTTGGTTACATACAATTACAAATTAGACTGACTTGGTCATAAACAGTCCGATTACAGTTAATCATAGATAATACAGGTATTGTCACAATCAATAAATCTGGTCAAATATAACACAGTTAGCAACTAATCTCGTCAACTAAAATGTAACACTACTGCCACCACACAATACTTAAAACTTTGATACCACCTCACCACCACCATTAAACAGATTACCTCCGATGCACTTTTATTGCCTGCAATGCACCATCACCTCCACCACGCAAATCTATTTTCTAACACTGCCCCTCACAACCACCACCATCTGTAAAATTATTTATGTCTGTAAATATGTATAGAGAGAGAAAGCTTCTCTAGAAAGAGAGAACATTTTTAATTTTTGGAGTTTTCTACATGGAGGTAGGATGGGGGTTGGGTCCGTTGGGGTGGGGAGTGTAAAGAAATTTGAATTTGAGATTTCTTGGGTGGGGTGAGGTTGAGTGGGGTGGGATTATAAAATTCTAAGGCTCCGTTTGGGAGCCATTCTTTCTTCAAATAATATATTTTTTCTTTCACATCAAGTGGGGGTCCATGGCTGGAAAGAGACACAAAAAAGATGTGATTTGACACAAAGAATGCATTTTTTTGTAGAAAAATGGTTACCAAACGAAGGCTTAAATGCTTAATATGTCAATTAATGTAGAGAGAATAAATGTATATTACAATATAATTATATATTTAATAATTTGATTTATTATCCAATTTATGAAATATTTTAGGGAGTTTGTTAGTTTTGGAATGTGATTTTTATATGTAGAAGTTATGTATTGTTCCTTTTTTAAACTAAAAGTAATTTTTTTATAAACATAAATTGAAAGTTTAAAGTTTATTAGTGTAAAACATTAAAATTGAAAATGGTGCTTGGTGAAATAAGTGAACACTGCCAAAACTGTTCACAATTACGCTTTCAAAAAAGTACATCGAGATTCTGAGTCTCGACGGACTTCGTAAATAGTAAAATAAATTTCTGTAATTCAATTAGTAAAATAATTAAATAAAAAGGGATTTAAAATTGATGTAAATATGTTCACTCGAAAATATTGATTGGACAATCTATATGAAAAAACAAAAATAGAAAATCGACCAAAGTGGGAGTCAAATCCACGACCTTCTAATCCAAAGTCAAACATTCTATCCACTGTGTCACAGATTACAAATTATTGTTTATAGTCTCTTTGGAGCAATTAGTACGGAAAAATAAGGACTTCAAGCACTTTGACATCTTAACCTTTGGAAATTTATAAATAAATAAATAAAAATAGTGGATAGTACTTCATTATTTATCAATTTAAAACTATTTAATGT